GCTCAGCAGCGGGATTCCTACTCTGGATGTTCAGAGATGGGTAGGGCAGGATAGAAAGGATCTTTCTAGCCACTCCCCTAAACTGCCTTGGACCTCAGTCTGAGTCCTAACTAACCTTTTTATCTGTTTGTTTTTGTTTTTCTAGACAGGGTTTCTCTATGTAACAGTCCTGGCGTCCTGGAACTGTCTGTACAGACCAGGCTGGCCTCGAACTCACGGAGATCTGCCTGCCTCTGGCTCCCGAGTGCTGGAATTAAAGGTGTGTGCCACCACTGCCCGGCCTAGTCCTACCTAATCTTAAATGCTGTTTCTATCCCACCCAGGGTCTCTGTCCCCACCCAGGGAGTATAGACACGGGGTCTCATGGATTAGAACACTTAACTACAGCTGACTTTGTATCACCGACCACTGAAACTGACCCACACTTCAGCAAGGGGCTTCATACCCACAGGCTGGACCCAGGCTTGACTCCCTGGATCCACCCCCCAAATCCAGCCAAAGGCTGCACATCTGTCAGCTGGCTCCAGTGACCCCCCTGTCACATACTGTGAAAAGAGCTGCACACTTGTAGGCTGCTGACCCTGTCCACCCTTCCCCGCCACAGAGAGGTCACAAGGAGAAGGTTGCAGCTGATCTCCACAGGATTGTTTACATCACAGGCAGCGTAGCAGGCCCACAGGCAGCAGAGAAGCAAACCTCGTCTTTGTAAAAACATCCACTGTACAGACAGGCTTAGCAGGATGGACAGTCACTCCTGTCTGTGTCTTTGCTGATACAAGGCCATGGAGCTGTTGGCTGAGCAGGGCTGGGGGAAAGTGGAGTTAGGCTCAGGTATCTCCACCTTGCTCTGCAGTGGCCTTACTGGGTCTCCCATTGAGGTTCCTTGGCAGCCAGGGCACCCTTCCCCACACTGAGATCAACAAAAAGGTGACAGATGGGATGAGGGCTGTGTGAGGCATGCCTGGGGCAAGTGAGACCCAGTGTGTTGTCAAGGTCAGGAAGGGCCTTCAGTACCTCAATTACCTGCCAATGGCTCTGAGGCTCTGAGTACTTCAGCAGGAGGAGTGAGGCTTTCGTTCTGTGCAAACTCCTCATCAAATCCACCACTGTGACTGGGTGCACTGCTTGGCGTCAAACCCACCACGGTCACTGTGGCTGGGTGCACTGCTTGGCGTCAAACCCACCACGGCCACTGTGGCTGGGTGCACTGCTCAGCCTCAAACCCACCACGGCCACTGTGGCTGGGTGCACTGCTAGGTGGCAGTGAAGCTATTCACACTGCTGTGTGCACACTGCCACCACCTGACTCCAGAACTGTATCTTCTCCAGCTGGTATGATGTGAATGTAGAATGCCCCCCCAATAGGGTCATGTGTTTGCATGCTTGGTCTCCATCTGGTGGCACAGTTTTTGGGGAGATGTAGAACCTTTGGAACAGATTGTCCAGCTCTCAGATACAGGTCTCCGGAGCCAGCCTTGAAGACTATGTATCTCTGATCCTGCCCGGGGCTTCCAGCTTCCTTCCCCGTCAGCTGACACTGTAAAAAACCACCACAGTCTGGCCACTATGCTGGGCCATACCCTCTGAGACCATGAACCCAATCACTCTACAAGTTGCTTCTGCAGGCATTTGGACACAGCAGTGAGAAGAGCAGTTAACACACCAGAGGGAACTCAGTGGCGGGCTATTATTTATTTGACAGTGATGGGGCTGGAATTCAGAGCCTCCCACACGGCGGGCAAGTGCTCTGCCACTAGCCACCCCCTCAGCCATGAAGCTGGGTTTTAAACACTGTCTTGTCCCACAGGTTTTGGTTGAAAACTCTGCTGCAGCTTCTAGAGGGAAGCAAGGACACTTAGGGCCTCGATCCACTCTGCAGCTTTCCAGCCAAGCAGTGGCCAAGCAGGGCACAGCTGGAGATGGGCAGAGGGAGGCCAGGGAAGGGAGGGGACAGAGTCTATAGCATAATCCTGGCATGGGCTGAGGAGTAGGGAGAGACATACCACGGAGATGACTAGACATCAGCGTGGGCTTCAAAGGAAAGGTTTTTCCTGTGGTCTGACTAGACCTGATAAATAATGCCTGCAGATCCCTGATCAGCGAGGGGTCTGAGGGATGGTGAAGTCTCAGGGCTGAGGACCCAGGACGTGGCTCTAAAAAGCCCCAGTTTTCCAAACCACGAGTGGAGACAGAAATATGAGAAGCATGTTCGGCACTAAGGGCTCTCATCCTCGGTCCATCGACCCCCTGGACGGACTTCAGATAAACTGCACAGCTGCCCACAGGCTCTGTGGTGGGAAAAGCTTGTTTTTCTTCTTCCTGACCAAAAGCAGATCTGCTGACAGATTAGCGAGCAGGGGGCTGGGGTGACAGGGAGGTCACCCAGGAGTGCAAAGCTGTGTGGAGCCTTGAATCACCCGAATGAGGTGCCTCTGTTCCTGAGAGCGGGGAGGGAGGCTAGTTCAGGAGGAGCCGCTGCGGCTGGCTTAGGCGGGCAGGGCGGCGGTAGCTTCCATTTGGCTCCCAGGAGGAAGCCCTTCCCCCACAAGGGTGGGCTATTATCCCACTGTGCACCTGTGGACACTGAGGCACGGAGCATATGTGAATGAGAGTTCGGGAGTCCTGCTGGAACCCAGCACTTCTCCCTGCTTCCCTCAAGTACATGGTCACCGACCCACAGGCCACAAAATGCATCATTTCACCTTGTCTGGGTACACAGCTCCATGGCAGTAGGTACATGCATTCTGCCATTTGCCTGCAACACACCATGATTCTCTCCTTGGAGGTTGCTTGGCTTATTTAGTTGTGTGTGGTTTTTGTTTCTTAGACAGGGCCTCACTCCTGGTTGGCCTGGAACTTGCTATGCAGATCAAGTTGGCCTTGAACTTGCAGTGATCTACCTGCCTCTGTTTAGGATTATGGGCCTGCGCCATCATAGTTTGATTTTTGCATTTACATATGTAAGGTGCATATAACAGGTAAGATTGCGTTTATTTCACAGACTAAGGACAGGCCAGCAGAGGCTTTTGGCTATCTCCAAGTTCATGTCAAATATGCCAATATATGCAAATGTGTGGTTCAGTGTAGGGGCAAAGGGTCTGCATCTTGCCTGCCGTATAACCTTAAGTAAGTTACTTAACATATTTGAATCTAATCACCCTCATGTATCTGGTGGTCATAATAAGCACTGGTGTTATTGTATAAAGTAAAGCTGCATGAATCATATCTACCTCAGAGCCTGCTATAAAATCGGTGCTCAATAAATGCCCACAATAATGACAGTGAGCAAAGGACCGTGAGACCCTTAGCCAGGACCAGCTGGACTCTGCCCTCCTCCAGAGGCGTTGGTGGGGGGTGGACAGTTGTGGCAGGGGAAGCTGGCTTGCAAGGGCAGGGCCCTGACCTCCTCCAGGAAGACCTTACTGGCAGATGTGCTTGCCCATGGCGACAAGCTGGCTGGAGCTCTCTCCTACAGAGAGGTCCACTGCTGTGACAGAGGAAAAAAAAAAACACTCAGGCTCAACTCTAAACAAACTCCCCTCCCAAGGGGAAGCAGTGATACTGGAGAAGGAGAAGGTATTTGGCCTGTTGCTTGTTTTCGAGTGTTTCTTCGGGTCCTTGGCCTGAGCCTCATGGGGATGGAGGGTCTGCTTGGGGGGCTCTCAGTTTGCCCAGCTTTAGTGGCTTCTCAGTGGTGTGGGGTGGGAGTCAGCAAGTCCTTCTGGGGACTCCTAAGGCAGAAGGTGACCCTGTGTTTGTTTCTCTGCCAAGCCCAGAGAGAGCTTAATGATGATCTACCTAGAACAATCCTCTACTGTCCTGTGGTGACTCAGGGGTCCCCCAGTACATTTCTAGGGGTCACTCATCTTTGGCCCCTGCCCAGCTCCTGGTGACAGCATCGTCCTGGGTGAACTGACTGATCTTTAATGGCGTTCTCTTTTCCATTTCTGTCAGTGTAGGGAGATAGGGATGGAAATGGGGCAGGAGAGGCGAGAGACACTGGGCTGGGAGGGTCTAGGTATGCAGGCAGGGGCAGGGAAATGCCCGGGCCACCATTTCGTCTGGAAAATTCCCCTCCAAGGCCTTGCTGTTTTCACTGGGGAGCTAGGTTGAACAACGTTGGCCTTTGAGGTTTTCTTACCAGAAACCCCACTGCCTAGGCGCAGGAGTCTTTCCTGGACAGGTTCCTCCTCTCTCTCCACTCCTAGGAATATGCTCTCCAGATTTACGCCCAGCCCCAAGGCGGACCTAATGTCTTGGAGCGACCTTGTCCACAGGGAAGCTCCGTATATTGGCACCTGGAGCCGTGCAAAGGAGAAGGCGAAGAGATACCCTGCAGAGACAGACGCTGTCTAGTGCCTCTGGACCCTGATAACTTCTTTCTGGTCTCGGTTCTTTGCATTCCGGGGGCCTGACCCCTCCTCTTTCACCTGGCCCTGCCCCTCCTCTCACCTGGCCCCTCCCCTCCCTACATCAGCCCCAGCTCTCTTCCCCTTGGCCACGCCCACTCTTTGACCCGCCTCTTCTCCCCGCCCAGCCTGCCCCTTTTCTCCGACCCCGCCCCTCCTTTCCTCCCCTTACCCCCCTCGTCCTACCTACCCTTCCCCCACCACCACCTGGCCCCTCTTCTTCTCCTCGGCCCCGCCTCTACCTCCCTCGCCATCCCCAGCCCTGCCCTTCCTCCTGGCCCCTCACCCCCTTTCCCAGCCCCCCAACTCTCCGCCCCTCCTCTCGGGTGGGGTCCCGAGGCCGGAGAAAACACTCAGGCTGCGTCCTGCTCTCGGGCGCCCTCTTGTGGCCCTGGCCCTTGGGGCGGCGGCCGCTCTGGCTAGGCTTTGGGAGCGCAGGGGCTTGGCTTCCTGGCTCCACCAGGCTTCCACGGTCCCCAGCCGGGGAGTGACCCAGAAAGCACTCCAAGGCCGGCCAGCACTCGGCTTTCAGGATCTTTATTGCCTCCGTAGGCTGCACGGCCCCAGGTGGGACTAGAAGAAGTTGAGCACCCTGCGGAGCGACTGCACGCGTGCGCTGTGGGCCTCCCAGTCGGAGAAGCTGCGGAAGTCGCCCCTCTCCACCACGTACATGCGGCCGCGGTAGTTGGGCTCCTCGTAGAGGACCCACCTGAAGGCCAGGGGAAGGGCGGGTCAGCGGGCGGGAGCCACGAGGGCAAGTCTCCCGGGCCCCGCCCCTCTGTCCTAGCGCCTTACTGCCTTGGGCATCAGTGGCTGAATCGGGCTTGGTGCTGGGGTGGGACAAGAAGGGGACTGCCCAGTAACTGTCAAGGGCGGGAGTGGCTCCGGGACGCACTCTGCCCAGTCGCCCTCCAAAGGGCCATTTGCACACAGTCCCCAGCCCCATAAACTGGGGACCATTCCCACTGTGTATCCACTCAGCCAACAGCCCTGGTGGGGCTGTGCTCCAGTGCAAGTGGGCTGTGCTGCCTGCATTGTACAGAGGAGCTGTAACCTCCGGGACATGAGGTCTGGCAAGGGCACCCTTCCGTTGGTGGTGTGTGCGCACCAGGCCTCTGGCCAGTAACAACCCAGGGGGCTGTGGTGAAGGTGAAGAGCACCACGGACCACGGAATCGGTAAGATTAATGGAGAAGATCAGGAGGGTGGTCTCGACCGGGGAACAAGTGTAAGGAAGAGAGTCTCATCAGAGCCTGGACTAGCCCTGCTCATCCCATCACCGTCCCTGAGACAAGCGTAGAGCTGTGCGTGTGGGATCCAGGAAAAGACGCCCTGTGTACCCTCCCACTTGGGGGTCAGGTTTGGGGGCGGGGCTAGGGAGTTTTAGAAAGTTGGGGAGGGGCCTCCAGGCCTGGCTGCACCCAGAACTGCAACTACCGTGGGCAAGACCTGGCTCTGCCTTTCACTTCAGTCTTTAGTTCAGACTCACTCTGCCTCCCCTGTCCCCCTACTCTACCCCACCCCCTGCCCATTCACCACAGTAGAAAACAACTTTCTTCTGGACCACGGTGGTTTTATGAAACAGGGGTCCCCCGGGGCCGCTCAGATCTCTGAGATTCTTGAGACCCAGGTCACAGGGCTACTCTGACCTTTCTTTGTAGGAACCCGTCCCTGCTCCCAAAGCACTCTGTGGGTCAAGGAGTTTTCTTTCCAGGGAACAGACTGGGAATCTGTGAGCTCCTTAGCCCAAGGTTCTGCTCGCAGATGAACTCAGAGGAGAGAGACCACTAAAGGGCCATGCAGCCCACTTCCCCAGCCCACTTCCCCAGCTCGCCGCTCCCAAGTCACTATAGCCCCCTCCCTTCCTTATCCTGACCTCTCGCCTGATAAATTCTAACAGTAGTGATTGGAGAGAGAGAGAGAGAGAGAGAGAGAGAGAGAGAGAGAGAGAGAGAGAGAGAGAGAGAGAGAGAGAGAGAGAGAGAGAGAGAGGGAGGTGTGTTGGAGGGCACCTGCTGGAGCCTGCTGGAGACAGGAGCAGGCCCGGGTCACCTAAGCTTCCTTACAACCCACCACATTGCTGGGGTCTCCAAGAGAGCGAGCTAATCCTACCCTGCTCTATAGTGCCCTGAGCCACCTTGGAGTTCTTGTGGACATCCCAAAAGGAAGAGGGACCTGACTGGGCATGAAGGCTAATCCCCTGGCTCCTCACCCGCAACTCCTGGGGCGAAGCAATGGAGAAAGGGGTCTCTGAAGAGGTGGCTCAGCGGTTAAGAGCACTGGCTGTTTTCCCAGAGGACCCAGGTTCAATTCTCAGCACCCACATGGCAGTTCACAACTGTCTGTAACTCCAGGTGCAGGGAATTCAATGCCCCCTTCAGACCTCTGTGGTCACCAGGCATGCATGTGGTGCACACACATGCATGCAGGCAAAATACATGTATAAAATAATTTTTTTAATTTAAAAAAGGGGAGCGCATGCCAGCTCAGTCTGTTAGAATGTCGGGAGAATGTCCCTGCTTTTCCCGCACATGCCTTCTAGGACACAGATACGAGTGATGATTCACTTCTAAGCTGGTATGGAACCCAGAAGGAATGCTCTTGACCTATGGGAGGTGGTGAAGGGGCCCTGCTTCACTGCCTGCAGATCCCAGAGGAAGCTCCAGGGACCCAAGGCATATCACAGAAGAGTTAAGGTCATCGAAGAGAAAAGACAAGCATACCTTGGACCCCAACACAGAGGCCCACTGTCTTGGCCTCCATCTCCTGACCATTGAGCCTGGTTCCTTCCAGGAAAGTGGAGATTAAAAACTATATACCCCAAGTCTGGCTGTGGTGGCACATGCCTTTAATCCCAGCACTTGGGAGGCAGAGGCAGGATCTCTTGAGTTCAAGGTCAAAAGAGGGAGTTCCAGGACAGCCAGGACTACACAGAGAGACCCTGTCCCGAAAAACTAAAAAAACTAAAAAAATAAAAAAATGCCCCTCCAATCACAATCAGAGGTCTCTCTTGCCTTCTCTCTCCCTCTCCCAAGATCCCCAGGGTTACTGGGGGATTATGTCTTAGGTCTTAGGACATCTTCCATACTGAAGTATGCGTCTGGCCTCATGAGACACAATTTAGCTTGCAAATTTTCCAAGGCAAGTTGTTTTGGACTCCTACCCCCGTATCCTCAGCTTAGGGGAGCCAAGGCCAGGTATTGGGAGAAATAATAGCTGCAGGTCTGCTCTGAGCACACCTTGTCTCCCTCAGTCCCTCCCTTGACCTCTCGCGAAGGGCCCTGAGCCTGAGCCTCAGAAATATAGAAGGCATGTTTCCAGAGGAGCCAAGTTCCCATTCCAGCCCTGCACAGGGAGGCTGGAGCCTGTGGGGCTCTTCTGCTGGGGGACAGGGTCCCCAGCTCTGGAGTGGAAGGGGCTTGACCGGGCTGCAGTACCAGCAGGGCCTCTGCTGTGGAAAGGATTAGTTAACTACAATCTTAGTTTGTGCGTCTGTAAAATGGCAATGACGTCTCCAGAGTGGATAGACGTCCAGTGTGATGTGCCTTTGTGTATACAGTGAACAGGTGCATGGGGAGCTGCCCCACAGGGTAAGCACTGCACCCTGACAGCTCTTTTGGAACAGAGAAGATGGGCAAAGTTCCTGGTACTCTTATCCATCCTATAAGAGCTTCTCGAAGCCCAACAAGCTGGTGTGGGTTGTTGGCCACCAGGCAGAGCCATCTTAGGTCTGGGGTCATCTGAGCTGGGCCGATGTACCCTCTCAGAGAAGGTGGGACTGCTTTGTAGCTTTGAACCCCCTAAGTGGGGGTTCTCTGGAGTCCAGTGACTCAAGAAAGCCAGAGAGTCTAGACGTTCAGTCCTGTAGCAGAGATGGTCATAGTTTCCTAAATGCTCCTTTCCTTCGGGTGTGGCCCACCAGAGGGGAGGTCTCAGGGAGCCTCTGAGGTAGCTATTCACTGCTTGCCTGGAGCAGGTGAGGCAGATGAAGGCCTGTGGCTCAGGGGCACCATGCCCACCACACCTGATGCCTACCCACCCTACCACACCTGTCTGGCTGCCCCGGCTGTACTCACGCTCCATCGCCATACACCTTGATGGCGTTGACACAGCTCTTGGCCCAGCCCCGGCTCTGCAGGAAGGGGCAGTCTTCCACGAACTCCAGGCACTGACCTGTGAAGTTGCAGCCCTCGAAGATGTCTATGCGGAAATGTTCTCCATGCTCCAGGACCCAGGCAGGTGGGGAAGGAAAAAGGAATACTCCAAGTCTCTCCTCCCCATGCAAGGGTAGAAAGGAAACAACTCCCAGTCCTGCGCTAGACTGGGACCCAGTGAGTACTCACCATCCCAACACATACACACACTGGTTTTCTTCCGTGAGATGTGGTGGGAGAAAGGGTCCTTCTATCACTTTAAAAACCTAAGCCATTGAACTGGTCCGATCTTCACCTTTTACAACCAAGGACCCAAGGTCCTCGAGGGCGACTGTCTAGAGGCCAGCACAGTAAGATCGGAGCTGGGGGGTCACTGGCTCCTTCCAGGCATTCCACTTGGGGGATTCATGTCCCAGCTTTGGCGTATTCACCCTTGGTTTCAGGCTACAGGCAGGCCTCCAAACGATAATATTTTAGAAGTGTAATAGAACCCTTTATGAAAACAGTAAGCCAAGACATCTAAAACAATGACTCTCATTTGCTGAAGTCCCTGCTGGCTTCAACATCATAATTCACTAGCACCAGTGCATACATCTTCCTATGTGATCCCCTACCCGGTGTCCAAAGGAGAGGGGAGGCCCTCCCTACTGGCCAGGTTCCTATGAAGCCTGGGATAGCTCTAACAAGAACAGCCTTCATAAGATATCTTGTATATTTTTCATATAAACAGCATTATGCAGGATCCAGAGCCAACCATTCTAATGCTCTCTCCAAATGCCCACATCCTGGCAGAGACACTAGGGAAGCATTCTTTCAGTTGAACGTGCCAGAGCCCAGCTGATTCTGGAACTGATGTAGAAAAGAAAAGGGGCCCCATGCAGAGTGGCGCCTCTCCAGACTCCTCAAATGTTGGCCAGAGCCCCGGTGAGGCATCCAGGATGCCCTGGCTGACAGACACTCTGGTGAGAGCTGCCCACACTGGTCCCCAGAATCACCTGTTTCCCACCCAAAGGACAACACTGAGAGCAGGTCTCGTACCTGTGACCTGAGGAGCCCTCACTCCCCAAATCCCACCCTAAGGAGACTGGAGAGAGACAAGACTTTTTCTAGGGGGAGCAATGCCCTTCATTTGCTTTCCCTACACACTTCAGGCCACAGCTCTGCGAAGCAACCATCTGTGCAACTCAAGAGCCCTGTCCCCTCAGATTTCCTGCTGGTCCTGCTGGCACTTGGGCTGCCATTATTCATTCCAACTTTGGAACGTTGAGGGCCAGCATAACGCTCCAAGGGAACCTGCGTGGGTAGATGCTCATGCTCAAAGCAGCCTTACCTTGTATATGTATGTGTCCATGCACACAGGAGTACATCCAGGCACATGTGTGAGCATGTGTGTTGGAAGTCAGAGGGCAATTTTGGACATCTTCCCCAATCACTTTACTAAGAACTTTTGTTACTGTGTTTTGTATGTGTATGTGTACACGTGTGTGTGGAGATCAGACAGTATTGTAGAGTCCGTACTCTGTTCTGTCTTTCCATGGGTTTTCGGGACCAAACTCAGGCTTGTACACCTTATCCATTCTGCCCTCCACTTCATTGATGTATTTATTTTTTTAGAAAGAGCCTCTCACTGAGCCTGAAGCGTCTCAATTTGGCTAGACTAATTGGTCCGCAAACACTGAGGAGTCTGCTGGCTCCACCTCCCCAGGGCTGGGGTCCCACGTGAACCATCACACCTGGCCTTTTATGGGTTCTGGGAATGCAAAGTCAGGTCCTCATACTTGTGAGGCAGACACTTTACAAGCTGGGCCATATATCCCCAGCCTTTCATTTTGCTTTTGATGAGTGCACCCTTATTCAGTGACTATCCAAACGTATTTCCAGCCTTTGAAGTTTAGCTACATGCTTGGCTCAGAAATCTAAAAGGATTCCTTGGCAACTCCCAGAGGCTCTTGTGTTCAGTCTCCTGTCCCTCTTGGTCCTCATAGCATCTCATGCTCACGTCAGTGTGGGTCTGGACAGGGTTCTCTCAGTTTTTAAGGTTTTATTGTTGGGAGGTGCCCATGCTTCTGATTAGATGCCAGGGTGACCTCCCACTGCCTGAGCTGCAAGTTCCCAGCCCCCAGGCAGAGTGACTCACTCACCATGCCCACAGGCCGACAGGAGCCCATGTGGTCATTGTGGCCATTCCAGCGGAAGAATTCAGGGTAGTCACCATGCTCCAGGATGAACTGCTGGCCTCGAAAGTCAGGGTGATCAAAGCAGACCCAAGCTCCACTCTCCACACGAATGGAGTTCACTCGGTTCATAAAGCCTCGGTCCTGGAAGTTGTCACAGTCCCCAAAGACTTCCAGCTTCCGCCCTGTGAAGTGCTTGCCCTCATAGAGAGTGATCTGGAACAGCCAGGTGAGAGCTCTGGATCAGGGTCCCATCTGACCTACACACATATACTCACACATGCTCACATGTGGGCATGAGTGTACTAAACATTTGTTTGTTGTTACACTTAACATTCATAATAGCACTAAAGGATATGTCTTTTAAGGCATAAATGTCTTGCAAAAACAGTCATCATAACTCAACATTGATTTTTCAAAAAGCAAAGTTCCTAATACTGAAATTCCAATCATTCAATAACTCTTTGGGTCTAAAGAACTGTGGTCTCAGAAAAAGACTCTGGGTTACGGGCTTCTCGGCATCTGGGCCCCACATCCTCATTAGAACCCAGACTTCCATCCCTGTTCACTGCGGTAGATGACTGACACTGTTTGCTGATGGGCAGAGAGTGAATGGTCAAGTAACCAACAGGCTTACGCAGCCATGGCTCCACCGGGCTCTCACCGACACACGGCCCCGCTATCTGTGAACAGGGCTGTCCCCTTAGTCTCGGTGCCCACTTGAAATCAGGCTATTTTCAGACTGTCACTGTATTTGTTAAACTCAGCACTTGTTTGTCGTTATATATAACACCCACAATAGCATTAAAGGAAACGTTTTCTAAAAGCATAAATGTCATGCAGAACAAGTCACCATAACTCATTTTTCAGAGAGTAAACTTTCTAATCCTGGGACCCATCCTTAACTGGAGAAGGGAACCTGTGGAAGTCAGGGCAGGGTTCTCAGGAGAGGGCTAAATGACCAATGTCACTGATCTCCATGCCTTTTCTCCCACCAATACCCTATATTTTTTTTTTGAGACAGGATTTTAATTATCTCAGAATAACCTTGAACGTACTATGTAGCTAGGGACGTCCTTAAGCTTCTGATCCTTCTGCCTCCACTTCCTGAGTGCTGAGAGTACAGCCAAGTCCCCCAGGCCTGGTTTATGCAGGGTTAGGGATGGAACCCAGGGCTCTGTGCATGTTAGAGAAGCACACTCACTCAGATCTTCAGCTTTTCCACGGACATGCCTGAGTAATAGACAGGTGTCAGACTTGGAATTGTATGAACCTCTTGGCAGTTCAGACATAGTCTCGTAGTAATAGACAACCTGTTAGTGATACGGACAGGTTGTCATTGTCCCAAACTAAACAGGTGAAGCAGCCGTAGCCTGCATATTCACTTCCCACCACAGGAAATCCAATCACTCAACAGCTCTTCGGGACTCAAGAACTACGGTCTCAGAGGACTCTGCAGGAATATAGTCCTATCACCCAGAAACGGATCACTCCAG